AATTATTTCACTGGTGGCATGTATATCTATAATACATTCAAATATGCAATTTTAAGAAAAAATTCGAACCAGATGTGCTCGGTAAACAAGGATGTTTGATGAACAGCAAGAATAAACTACCCCTCTGAAGAAGTGGATCAAAATTATTTCACTGGTATATCTTTATATTCTCATTGAATATTCAAATATGTCATTTGATAAAAAAAATATCAACCAAAAATACTCGGTCAGCAAGGATTTTTGAAAATCGGCCAGTATAAACTACCACTCTGAAGGGGTGGATCGAAGCGAACTCGCCATATTCTAACACACATACTCTCGCACACTTCTATCAAGCTGTGTAGTATATTATGAAGCACAAAATTATATTGAAAATGTGGACTATTCATTGATGAAGAATTTAGTTACATAGCTGCCAGTCCTGACGGAATTCCGGAAGGAAAAAACTTCATTGTGGAAATAAAATGTCAATCTGGAGCCAGAACTATGACTCTGGATGAAAATATAATCGAAAGGAAAATAACATTCTGGAAAAAAGACAGGACCATCAACCAATGCCATAATTTGTACTCAAATCCAGGGTCAAGTGAGAATTACCAAAACAAATTTTTGTTTTTGGTGTGTTTGGACCCTTATGGAAATGGAAAATCCCTTGAAAATACGACATTATAGGGATCCCCCAGTTTTATATTGAATACGTTCTACCAGAAATTTTAGAAAGTGGGACAAATAGGGGCGTGACAGTGTGAGACAGAATAAAAAATTAAAAATAAAATGAATTTTAAAAATCATCTGTTTTTTCATATTTGTTTCATAAAATCTGGGTAATTCTGGGACAAGGAATCGTTCCAACTAATATTATTGAATACTGTCTGTAGGTTAATCGAGGAGGTGGTATATTCATTTTACTTGATTTTTCGGGATTTTCTCTCCTCGTTTCTATAAAATAAAATATGCGAATTATTTCAATATATTTGTAGTGGTACAAATCAGATGATTTGCCCCAAAATGTCACTGCGTTTAACAAATTTTTCAATCAGGGAGCCTAAAAGAAAAATCCAGTAGCTTGTCAGTGACAATTTGTTAGAAAAAATGTTTGATAATGAAGAACAATCATAAAAAAATTGTATCTATAGTATACCTTGTGTTTGTGGAAAGTATTATACGGGTGAAACGAAAAGACCTCTCTCAGTAAGGACTAAAGAACACAAGTACAATATCAAGAGAAGACATATCGATAAATCGAAGCTAACTGAACATATCCTTACTGAAGATGGACAACAAATGGCAGAGTGGAATAATATCAAAATCATTGGAAAGGAAGATAACAACCAAAAAAGAAAAATCAAGGAATCCGCTTGCATTCTTCTGAACGGAGACATTAGCATTGTTTCCTGTTCAGTTGATATAGATAGAACCTGGTATTCACTACTGAGGGCTGAACATGAAAATGGTGGTTTCAAGATCAATAAATGGAAACATCCTGTAACTCATTTGTAGACTAAAATCACTCATTCATATGCCAACATCATTATGACACTGAAAACTGTCAAACTACAAGCTGCACAACTTCCAAAGAGAAATATTTTGCATTTTCATGTTGAGAACGGGAGCAGATTTGGTCCCGAAACGTCCAAAGATAAGTAAAGATTCGATATTTTGTCAATATATCTATATTTCTTTGCTTTAAACATTTTTTCAAACAAATTGTCACTGACAAGCTACTGGATTTTTCTTTCAGGCTCCCTGATAGAAAAATTTGTTGAACGCAGTGACATTTTGCATTTTGGGGCAAATCATCTGATTTGTCCCACTACAAATATATTGAAATAATACGCATATTTTCATTTCACAGAAACGAGGAGAGAAAATCCAAAAAAAATCAAGTGAAATAATATTATTGAATTATTGTTATACCATTTCTTCTTTCAATATTATTTCACGTTTTACACTGACAACTTCAAATCAATCAATAAGCAAATAACAATTTGTGTAAAAATATAATTCGAGGAGAAATTAGTATCGACAAATTATAAAAACAACAGCTTTACATTCGTATGGAAATCATTGGAAGATATCTCGGAATATACTGACAAGCAAGCTCTTAAAAATGGAAAAAGAAATTGCATCAACTTCGAAATCGGAATGATTTTTCTCGCTATTTGCTAATCCGGAATGAATTCACCTTGCTGGATTTAAATTAACGTATCAATTATACCCAGATGACGACTTTTTTCAAGCTTATAATGACTAGCACAGCTAGTCGACAGTCCTACGATTGGAGCGTTCTTCGCAATATACGCCAAGTCGACATGATTGTCAGCACGCAGCGGTCACCGCGTCGTACTGAAGTTTTAGACTCCCCTCGTAATTCGGTCGCGGAACGAATTTACAAAGAAGTAATGGTTTTATCGTCATCGGCGTAGTGTTTAAGCTCCACCCACCAGTAGTGAATTTTATACCTCTGCCTCAACCGTTGCCCCTGAGGTTTCGAAGTTTTCAAAGTACCACTTCCACTTAAGAGCAGGGATAATTTGATAACTTCAGTTATGAGCGTTATTTTTTCATTATTTATTTTCAATATACCTATATATTTCACTATAATTTCCAGAATTACTCTTTCTTGGAATAACTTTGTTAATAAACGATGTGCCTTCCTGAATTTTTCGTCAACATTTCGAGAATATTTCAATTTACCTATTTAGAAACTGAAATGAATTTGTGGTGCCCTAGGAGAATTTATAAGAAATATGATCTGTCATTTTTGATACTTTTTTTGGAATAACTTTGTTAATAATTCTTGCGCGTTCATGAATCTTTTGCCAAAATCTCTAGAAGAACACCGGTGTGAATCTAGAAACTGAAATGGTTTTGTGGTGTCGTGGGAGAATTTATAAAACTAAATAATCTGTCATTTTTTATACTTTTACTGAAATGAATTTGTGGTGCCCTAGGAGGATTCATAAAAAATATCATCTGTCATTTTCAATACTTTTTTTGGAATAACTGTTATTAATCCTTGCACGTACATGAATCTTCCGTCAAAATCTCTGGAATAACTCAATATATGTATTTAAAAACTGAAATGAATTCGTGGTGCCGTAGGAGAATTTATAAAAAATATAATCTGTCATTTATGATAATTTATTTGGAATAACTTTGTTAATAATCGATGTGCTCTCATGAATTTATCACCAAAATCTCTAAAATAACTCAATATACGTATCTAGAAACTGAAATGAATTCGTGGTGCCATAGGAGAATTTCAAAAAAATATAGTCTGTCATGTTTTATACTTTTTTGAAATAACTTTGTTAATAATCGATATGCGTTCATGATTTTTTTTTTCAAAATCTGGAATAACTCGATATACGTATACAGAAACTGAAATGAATTTGTGTTGCCGTGGAAGAATTTATAAAAATATAGTCTGTCATTTTTGATATTTTTTTTCCAATAACTTTGTTAATAATCGATGTGTGTTCATGATTTTGTTGCTAAAATCTCTAGACTCGAGAATAACTCAATATACGTATTTAGAAACTGAAATGAATTTGTGGTGCCGTGGGAGAATTTATTGAAAATATAGTCTGTCATTTTTGATACTATTTTTTTCAATAACTCAATATACGTATAGAAACTGAAATGAATTTGTGGTGCCGTGGAAGAATTTATAAAAATATAGTCTGTCATTTTTGATATTTTTTTTTTTTCAATAACTTTGTTAATAATCGATGTGCGTTCATGATTTTGTTGCTAAAATCTCTAGAATAACTCAATATAGAATTTAGAAACTGAAATGAATTTGTGGTGCCGTGGGAGAATTTATTGAAAATATAGTCTGTCATTTTTGATACTATTTTTTTCATGCGTTCATGATTTTTTTGCTAAAATCTCTAGAATAATCGAGAATAACCCAATATACGTATTCAGTAACTGAAATGAATTTGTGGTGCCGTAGGAGAATTTATAAAAAAATATCTGTAATTTTTGATAATTTATTTGGAATTACTCTGTTAATAATCGATGTGCATTCATGAATTTATCGCCAAAATCTCTAAAATAACTCAATATACGTATCTAGAAACTGAAATGAATTCGTGGTGCCATAGGAGAATTTATAAAAAAATATCTGTAATTTTTGATAATTTATTTGGAATTACTCTGTTAATAATCGATGTGCATTCATGAATTTATCGCCAAAATCTCTAAAATAACTCAATATACGTATCTAGAAACTGAAATGAATTTGTGGTGCCGTGGAAGAATTTATAAAAATATAGTCTGTCATTTTTGATACTTTTTTTTCGATAATTTTGTTAATAATCGATGTGCGTTCATGAATTTTTTGCTAAAATCTCTAGAATATCCCAATATACGTATTCAGAAACTGAAATGGATGTGTGGTGCCGTGGGAGAATTTATAAAAAATATTATCTATCATTTTTGAAACTTTTTTGGATTAACTTCGTTAATAATCGGTGTGCGCTCGTTACTTGATGGAAATGCATGATAAATGTAAAAACTTCACAAACGATAAGATTTCCACAATTTTTTTTCAAACACGACATGTCAGGTGATATACTGGTACAATGAAATAAACTAACGTTGGCTTGCTTAACTTTTATATATCTTACTTTCCCAACCTGAAGGATCATTTTGAATCATTAGAAATCAACAAACTCAAAAATTTTGACATTTTACTAAACAAGCCAACGTTAGTTTAGTTCATTGTACTAGTATATCACCTGACGAAGCTACTGTGTGCGCGAAACATGTCGTGTGTTTAAAAAAAAATTGTGGAAATCTTGACAGATTATATTTGTCTGACTGTTTAAAAACACCATTAAAATTTGTGGAGATGACTTCAAGTATTCATTCGTTCCTTTGAAAAATTTCACTTCACTTTTTACCAAAGATAACAAGTCAGATTAAATAAAAAGTTAACAGTTTTGGTATATGGTATACAGAATTGTCATGACAGGTATTTGTTTTGATAAACAGATTCAAGCCGGGGTCCTGAAAATTCTAGAGGTAGAGGAAGAAGTGAACGAAATCGCGGAAACAACTCAGGAAGAGGAAGAAGAAATAACAACAATGGAGGCCTTGATGATTCCCCGGACACCGGTAATAGTCGATGCATACTAGATTAAAAAACCAGATACCTCGCCAGATACTGAAGTTCATTTTTTTTTCATGTTCATAATATATCTGTGAATAGAATTAGGGTTTCACGAGACTCTCGAAATTCGAGATTTCTCGTCTCGTCTCGTTTTTTTTTCGAGATGAGATCGAGAAAAGCACTTCGAGATTTTTCGAGATCGAGAAATTATTTCGAGATTTCTCGATCTCGAAAAAATATATGTGCTGCATTAACTCACAGCTCTAAATACTCAAGAAATGAGAAAATAAAAAACTTTGCGAAACAATAATTTTATTATTCCGAACATATTAACAGAAAATGACAAAACAATAACAAAGATAACAAAGTAAATAAAAAGGACAAAGGTTGAAATAAATATCTTCATATTCTTAAAGAACTTTAACGTCTTTAACGATTCCATAGTCTCGCTATTATTATTATTATCTCTAATATTTAGTTTTCAGTCAAAGAATGACAATTCAGCTTGTTTAATTGATGTATTGCTATAGATAATAAACCATCAGCTTGCTTGACAACTCCAAAATTAGGTAGGTATATATACTGGGTATGCATTTATGGTAGGTTAGATAAATCGTGTGTAGCCGAACACAATCATGTTCAATCAAAATCATAAAACACATATTAATAACCTCAAATTAGTTGAGCAAGTTGATAATGTTCGAAAATTAGATGCATATGAAAGCTTAGAGATATTTAAGAATAGAAATAGAGTAATGAAAAAGGATAACATGTGAACTCAACCATGAATAACATTGACTTGGCGGTTATTGTCTATTCACGGTTGGGTGGACATATACTTAGTATATGAGTAGCCCACTATGATCTCGACTAGGATAGAGCATTTAGTTTCAATCTTCTCCTGAAGATGCTAACATAGTTAGCGAAACATGTGTCGGGGTGTAAAAAATCGGTTTGGTTAGTGGTAAAACAGTGTGTAGTGTAGGTACATACATAATAAGTTTTTATTGACAGTTCTTCATTTATTCTATGAGTATAAACTGTGCTTTACAGATACATTTATAATCAGTTCTTTATAGCAATCCCTCACGAACGTTATAAGTACAAACTCTGTTTTGCAGATACATTTATAATCAGTTCCCAATTAGAATTCTTTATTGAAATACCTTGCCATTGGTGTGTTTGAAATGTTTTTGGCAAACACATCCATATTGAGTTCCCTATAGCAATTCTATATACTAATTTTATGAGTTCAAACTCTGTTCTGAAAATACTTAACCAAAATTGGTTCCTAACCGGAATTCCCTATCGCGAGACAGTGGCAGTTATAAGTTTGAAATGTGTTTTGCAGGTACATTCAAAATGAGTTCCTATAATGACAATTCCTAACGAAGTGCATGAGTATGAACTCTGCTGTTTTGCAATTGAATATATTATCAGTTCCTTATTAAAATTCCTCATAGAAACACCATGGATTACATTTTTTTGAAATGTGTTTTGCAGGTAGGTACATTCATATTGAGTTTCAATCAAGGTTTTTATTGAAAATTCTTCATGTACTCTATGAGTATAAACTGTTTTCTAGATAAATTTTATAATCAGATTCTGATTGAAATTTCCTTTTGAAATGCCGTGGCATATATATTGATCTCCTTAACACGGGCCAATATATAATTAAACATGATATAACGAACGAAACATTCATTGTGAATAAAATTCGAGAAAAAAAAATCAAAAGAAAAATGGTCGCCTAATTTCGGATAGGATGGTTTCCTAATTACTACTAGGTATAAGAGATCAGGCGCGCGTCAATTTGGAAGTTGACGCTGAAACGTACATGGACATGGGTGAAAAAAGTAATATCAGAAATAATTAAACTTCTTAGAAGTTGAGTAAATTAGTAGTTCTCCTTATCGACGCTGATATCTGAAATTGGAAACTCTCAAAGAACCGATATTATGAATTTCCACATGTTAGGTTATAGGTTAGTTTTCTGGAGATATTCCTAATTTGTGGTTATATATTATTGCAATATTTGAATTTCAAGGAATAAGTAGTATACATAAAGGATGGTGAAATTTGTAGCTAATATTCCACTTACCATCAAAAACTGCGATCAAATAGCACACAAACTAATAAACTACTCAGGTAACAGAGTGACGTCCAATTGACAATTTTTTGTTCATCTTGTCGAGTAAGCAAGTTTTTGCCGGTACCTATACGATAACTTGGGACACCCAGTATTAACATGAAATGGGAGTCATTAATCTATGATAATGATAATTGTATACTAGATACTAGATTTTCTTACTGTCTCAGAGAATGTGTTCAACAGGTCATATTATTATCTCTCCGCCATTATGGAAGATCATTTCAGATTTTGCAGTAAATTAATGATAATTAATTATCTTCTCTGGCGAGAAAGACAAAAATGTTCCAATTCAGGTGGGATCGAGATTCAAATATCTACCTCAAATTCGTGGGTAGATATCGGACGACCTTTTTTTTTAAGAATATCCGGCCAACTCCTCGGAGATTTTTTCAAGTGATAAAGTTTACTTGATCAATGTCTTGCTATAGAATAATATATAATTAAAGCTCATTACGTTGATCTAACTCTAAGTTTGGTGACTCAATATTTTTCGCTGAAACAAATATCCCAGTAAATTTCACTTCATCCCAAACAATATAGCTGGCGCTAGTTAGACTTCGCTGACAGGAGACTGCTGATAACCAATGACTTCCCAACAATTGAATACCTTACCATTTTAATGGCGATAATGTGGCGATTGATGCAAATATCGCTCTTAAAGGCCTCATTATAAGGCGATGTGCACGGATTCTTGAACAATTCATAGTTGCGAGCACTTGAAGAGTTCGCTATTAGTAATTGATGCGAATTTCCCAAAATTCTCTTCACAAGGCGATGCGTGCGAAAATCTCAAACAGCTCGTAGTCGCGAGCACTTAAAGACCTCGCCAGAAGCAATTGATGCGAATCTCCCAATGTCCTCGTCACAAAGCAATGTATGCGAATTTCTCAAACAGCTCATGATTGCGTGCACTTTCAGTTCTCGCCAGTGGCGATTGAAGCGTATATCTCAAAGTGCGCGCCTGAGGGCATTGTAAGAGAATTTCTACGTGCGATATCTTCAAGACCTCGCTGAGCTCAGCCTAGGTTGCGGACATTTGGCGTAGATATAGCACTCTCGGCGATCTCTCAAAGAAGTTACAAAAGGCATCACAATTTCCTAGAAGGATTACTTCAAGATATCTTCAGGACCTCTTTGTGCTGGCTGGGATGACATCGCAGAAGGACCTATAAACGATGAAATGAAAACTTAAATTGAGGTTTATATTCAGAATTATATAGATAAATTATAATACACCACAAACCTTTGATGAAATTCTTTTCTAACTATGCGCTTTGGTGACTTGTTCGATGCTCCTCCTCGGCAGTCCTGTTCAATCCTACTATCCTACTATCATTACTACCTACGCGTCTCTATAATATCGTTAGCTACTCATATTTGTATTTAAAATTATGTAACGAGCTTCAGCGAGATGTAAGCTGAATTGATTAATTTTCAGCCAAACTACCCATTTCTGAGAAATCTTCTGAAGCAGGTCGATTTTTATTTTCAATTTTCCCCATTTATAAGTAAAAATCAGATATACAGGGTGATTCACGTTTGAGTTACGACGTCTTCGACAATTTTTTCAAAGGAACAACCTATAAATTATTCGATTTTTAGAATCTCTATGGAAAACTAGATTCGAAACTATATACATATAGAGTTTGTATACAGTGCGTTCGTTGAATCAAGTGCTTTTCGAAGATAAATTCGTTAAGAATTGAAGGAATACATTTTTGAAGAAACGCTCGAAGCCGTAGAATTTTATTTTCACTCGAGCTTTCTTTCAAATTCAATCAATACATTCAGATATTAATATGTAGGAGAGATTACGTCATCGGTATTTTCATTGGCCACCCCATTTTCCGAGAGGACTGAATTTAACGGACGACCTGTACACAAAACCCATGTGTGAGATAATTTTGAATCCAGCTTCTCATAGAGAATATAGGGCGTTCCTTTTGCAAAATGTGTCGCGAACGCCAAACGTATATCATCCTGTATATTTTATTTATCCTTATAAATGTGTTAAATTGAAAATGAAAGACTCTCCTGCTTAAGAAGATATCTCAGAATTGGCTAATATGAACTCGAATATGGATGAGAATTAATTTATCCAGTACTTTACGAGAGCATTGAATTTATCGGACGCACGACTGTATACAATCCACATGTGTAACTCCAGCGTGGTGGATCACCCTGTATATTCAATTTTTTCCTTATTGAAATGACAAATTGAAAATAAGGATAAAGCTGTTTCAGCAGCAGATTCTTCAGAAATGGATGATTTGGCTCAAAATTAATGTATTCACTTGATACTTTACACGAATTCTCTGTATCTAAACAAAACACAAATTCAGTACAACAGACGATGAAAATGTAAGAAATCGACTGAATTTTCTTATATGGTCGAATGGAAGAATATACGACTTTGTAGGGACGTCATTATACCTTCAGTATCACACGTCAATAGGACATCATGAAATATGACGTCAATTTTAGGTCATATTTTAGTTAAAAGACGCCGTGGAGAAAAAAAGACTTGTAATAGACATCAATATAACGTCTTTTTAGGTCACTCCGCTAACTGGGTGTAAATGAGGTATATACAGAAACATTCTCATGTTTTGACCATCTAGCGAAACTTTTTCAAAATATCGAAAAATGAAGTGAAAGTTTAAACTGATTTGGTAATAACAGAGATGTTTGATTCAGCGCGAAATTCGAATAGTTCAGAAGAAACGTCACTATCCGAAATATATGGCACCTATCCGAAAATAGGCAACATTCTTCTAGATTGAGCAAGTACTTTTCATTCTAGTATAAATTATTATGATGATTATCTAGGTAGGAGTAACGACAGCAGACGCGAATTCGTAGTGAGAAGAATGCCATTCAAACAAGCAGAAACTCTCAGCAACAACGATGACGTAGAGGAAGTTGTACAAAAAGTCTTCAATGACAGATCCGGTTTCAAATTGGTACTCGAAGACAACGAACTCAGCGGCGATTGGATATGCCTCATTGCCCACATCTTGAGCAAAGTTTCCCGCAGCAGCTTCCAAACTACCAAACTGAAGATTTACAAGGATATCTTCGCTAACAGTTCGTTTGCTAAGCAACTGAAGGCGTTCGTTGTCGGTTTACCGTACCAGGATGACAGAGAGAAGAGAGGAAACAGCTTTTTCTGGAGAGACAGTGACATGTTCTGGATGGACCTCATTGAAATTTTCAAGGATATTATAACGACTCCGACTTTCGCTGGCGAAACCTTACCTACTCTTCTCAAGGCCATAGTGAATAATCTCCCGACCTTGGAGGAAGAACAGAGTATGCATATATCTGAAGGTAATATTTCTAGACTTTTCTAGTTGCCCTGGTAGACCAAGCGCCAGGAGTAAAAACTGGCGTCTCATAAGTCACCAGAAGATTGACATTCCATATGTACATAATCTTAGAATGGAGCTATTTTGATCTGCCTATTTGGAACATACATTGTTTCTTTCAAATCTGATGCCAATTCGATGAAGTTTAATGCTATTGGTTTTGAATCTTGGTGATTTGTTGAGATGGGATATTGATTTATCAAGATTTGTGACTCAGTTAATTTCAAAATTATTTGAGGTTATATCTACACAATTTGAATTTACGAAATTTTTGGGCATTTTCAAATAGGTAACTTATTGTCTCCTTGGGCATGTTATTGCTTATAAAAAAGTGGGGATCTTCAATTTCTCGAGAAACATAAAATGGAGTCTTAATCACATTTTCCTTGACAATAAGTTTTGTGCGAGAATATAAACGACTACTTGGTGAAGCAATTATAATCAACATCTTGGCTTGTACACTTCAACAAAACGGATGAAGTTGGGCGACAAGCCGAAGCTTTCGCCATCACTCATGGCTTAGAGCAGCTCATCAAGGAACCCACACGAATTCCGCATGTCAATAAACATTCAGCCAACACACTTGACTTGTTATTCCTCACTTATAATACAGCACCTTATATCATAGATGAACCTGCCATCAACTACTCCAGCGCCCCCACGTCTTGTATGACATTATGACTCAGGAGACTGGAACGGTATCCACATGCTTTTCTCCGAATTTCCTTGACATTGAATATGCTTTGACTGTAAGGAGCCTTCACAGTGTGCTGCGGAAACTACCATCATACGGCTTATCACCTCACCTATGACATCTTTTATCGAGATCACTCCACGTGGTGGTGGACGCTGTATCGCCTCATACCATTGCCATCAATTCTGGCGTTCCACAAGAATCAATTTTGGCAACTACATTGTTCCTACTTCATATCAATGATCTGTTGGGAGCAACCACTTGCCCTATCAACAGTTTTGCAAATGATAGTACTCTCCATACTTCGTTCTCTTCCAGAATTTTCTTTCCTTCCTAGGAAACTAAGAACTCACGGCGAAGGCAGGTCATTGCTGTCAATGAAGATCTTGCTAAAATCACGGCCTGGTAAAACAACAACCTAGTTGAATTCAAAACTCAAGCCTGTATTTTCTCTAGGAAGGGGGAACTCAGTATGCCCGATATAACAATGTCTGTCAGTTCCTCCTTCGTTCACTTGCTCGTTCTAAGGCTGATTCTACCGCCTCAATGGTGAAATGCCCTTTCCGGAATCCATGTTGATTTGGGGATAAGCCGCCGCTCTTCTCTATAGCCTGTCTCAGTCTCTCTCTTATAATTCCGTCATATAGTTTGCTATCTGCTCTGAGTAAGCATAGCGGTCTATAGGCTGTAGGGTCATCAAATCAAATAAAAAAACTGAGCTTTATTGTCCAAGAAACATTCTTCCTATTGACGAAGCGTGAAACTAGCAAGTGGATAGATCCACATGTCCAATTATTTGTACAAAGATATAAAAGATATGAACATATAATATAGTTAATAAATAACACAAATACAAGGGTATAGAACAACTACAAAAAAGCCCTAAAAGCATAACATTTATATCACATACAACGCCAACTAGGTACCTAACATAATAGTTGAAAAATCAAGAAATAAATTATAGAAATAAAGTATACATGACTTCAAAACTTTTCGTTGTAATATTCCTGCAGGTCATAGTACGCTTTTTGAATAAGGAATTTTTCAACCACCTTTCTGAATTTTTTTATGCAGCCAGTTCCTTTGAATTGTTCTGGCAAGTGATTGTAGATTTTTTTGCTCTCATATATAATGGAATTTTTTGTTCAAGTCATCTTCGGTATCGGCAGAGACAGGTGACTGTTATTTCTAGTGGACATAATATGATTCACCGGGTTTTTGTTCGATGAATGATGTCTGGTGTGGATCAAACAGACTGTTTCCAAAATAAAGAGGCAGGTGAGAGTGAGAATTTGTTGACTGATATAAAGTGGTCTACAATGGTCCCTTGCTTTAGCCCGACACAAATAGCGAATCGCTCTCTTCTGTAGAATAAAGACAGGATTCAACAAATTTTGGCTACAAAAACCCCAGAAGGCTATGCCGTACCTGATATGAGACTCTATGAGAAAAAAATACGTGTTTCTGGCAATAGCAGGACCAAGCTCATTTGATACAACTCTAATGGCATAGCAACCTGATTCTAACCTTTTTTTTTAGTGACGTTACATGTTCTTCAAACCCCAATTTTCTGTCAATATGTTTACCTAGGATCGATTGCTTTGCCGGTCCTTTCGGTATTGGTACCAATCGCGTCACTTTCCATTGCAATGGCAACTCTTCCACCTGCAGTAGGCCATTTAGCATATCCAGCATCCAATCTGGAGCCGTCTTCACCGCTTCTTCTATGGCTTCGGGTGGGACTCCATCGAGGCCAGGTGCTTTTCCACTCTTCAGGAGTTCCGCAGCTTTCGTAATCTCCTCCAGCGAAAAAGATTCCACATGCTCCCCCTGTTGCCAGGAATATCCTGGATCACATCGTCTGTTTTAGGGTCCACTACGTTTTTCATACCTTCTGTCGTAAGCCTGACTGGACCATAGTCGCCCCATCACAATTCTGAAGTCATCACCCCATATATTTTCGTTTAAATCTTTGCTAAGGTTTTTCCAATGGTTCTTCTTGGGAGTGAATATCAGTTTCTGTAGTTCTTTCTTGACTGTTTGGTGTAATCGTTCCTGAGCTGTTGTCTCGTCTCCGCAGACACTCCGTTGCAACGTGAAATTCTGCTGGCTTGCCTTCTTATCTGGATACATTCATTCCGTTTATTTCCTATTTCCAAATTCCACCAGTAAGGTTTTTTATTCAAACCCTGACCGGTTCGCGTGATATTTGCCTGGTAGGCCTCCCGGATAGCACCCTTGCAATCTTCTTATCGATAGCATTGAAACAGATCAATAATTAAAATGTGTTAATAATACTACGCTTTGAAATCGATGAAATTCGTTCCAAATAGCCCCATTCTATAGGTAAGTTATTCATTCGGCATTGAAATGGAAACCGTGCGTCTGTCGACCAAGAACCGCGTTAGCATTGAAACAGATTAATAATTGAAATTTGTTAATAACACTACGCTTTGAAATCGATAAAATTCCTTCCAATTAGCCCCATTCTATAGGTAGGTTCATTTGCATTGAAATATAAACCGAGCGTCTGCCGGCCAAGAGTGGTCGCTTAATATCGCTACGAATTTCGAAAAATAGCCAAAATCGACCTAGACCGCCAAAGTGATTGGAATTATATAGTGAATCATGAGTAATCTAAGCGTCTACCGGTAGATGAATTGGATTTTAAAAGTAGACGGTGTTCAAAACTTTAAAAAAATCACCGACCAAATCCTCCACCTGATTTTTTTTTTTTTTTCGGAAAACCAGTGTATTATACACTTGATTTGAATAAATGAATAAAGTACGGAAAAAATCAGCCCTAGTTACTTTATATATGAATAGTTAAAGTAGACGAAGAGGTTACTCCTGGAAAATATTCCGAAACAAATATCAACTAACAATTTTCCCTTATTTTATGAGATTGAGAGAGAATGTCAATTCGAGGGGTAAATCTCCTTGGAAGTCTGGTGTACACTCCGTTGGAAGTCTTTGGAATTCTTTGTAAGTCTTTGGATGTTTTTGGAAGTCTTTGGATGTCTTTGGATGTCTTTGGATGTCTTTGGAAGTCTTTGGATGTCTTTGGATGTCTTTGGATGTCTTTGGATGTCTTTGGATGTCTTTGGATGTCTTTGGAAGTCTTTAGAAGTCTTTGGGAGTCTTTGGAAGTCTTTGGGAGTCTTTGGAAGTCTTTGGTAATTGGAAGTCTGGTGTACACATTTTTCCTGGAGATTTACCCCTGGTGTCAATTCTCAATTTCAGAGGATTTTCATTTTTCTTGCTCTCCTTTTGGATGTTCAATAGATATGATCCAAAGTTCGACATGGCAAATAGCCTGGAAAGTAGTTTTTTGTTGAATATTCAGAATGATATTATGTGCATCTATATACAGGGTGTCCCATTGGGAAACGGAAAAACTTCAACGGTGGGTAGAGCTCATCAAGGTGGTTCTGAATATACCATATTTGTAGGGTCTCACAAGTTTTATATCCGAGATATAGGGTGTTTTATCAATTTTTCCCAATTCTTTGTGAGGACATAACTTACGAACCACTTAGTATATTCTTTTGCAATTTGGTACACAATTCCTTTTTTTCTACCAAAGCGACCCACCTATCAGTCACGAAAAAGATCCAGGCCCGGATTGACAAAAGTTGATAATTTTTCTGGACACCAAAAAGAACACCCTGTATTTTCGAATTCTCAAAATCCGCTTACATATTTGGAAAGTGCACAAAAAGCTGAACCGAATGGTATACTTGTCATTTTCCCGCATGCAATTTCACTAAGGAATTTCTGATTTTGAATTCGAGGTTTTATGCACTTGGATAGGTGAAAATAATATGTTTTGAGTTTTCCCAATCGAATAACAACAATTATCACGAACCACCCAGTATATTGTTTTGGACTTTGGTACACGAGTTCTCCTTATTCTACCCAAGCGCCTCACCTATCATCCACGAGAAAAATCCAGGTCCGGATTAACGAAAATTGATCATATTTCTGGACCCTAACAAGAACACCCTGTATTTTCGAATTCTCAAAATCCGCTTTCATATTTGGAAAGTGCACAAGAAGCTGAACCAAATCGTGTACTTTTCATCCTGTGTCGGGACATGGTACATACTAGGGACGTCCCAGAGGGACATCCGCTTTCCACAAAAAGAGGCATCCTAGGGATGTCCTTCTGGTATGTCCCTGGGATGTACCAAGTACGAAGAAAGGATATCCCTAGGACGTCCCAAGGATATCCCAGGGACATCCCTTCGACAAAAGAAAAAAAAATG